ATTTTCCCGTTTCCAAGACTTACAGTAGTTTTCTTACAGCATCTTTTAGACTGTGCATTTAATCAAACTAAATAAGTAATTAAAACAGATAGACCGTGTTACAGTCTATCACCACTGACTCGGAATTTAGACTGAGCTGTACTGTAGTTCGTTCACATCCTCATATTCCACACAGCTTTTGCCTTTGCCAGGAAATAGGTGGTATCATGAGGATAAGGGCAAAGGTAGGCAAGGGCAGCTCACCAGCTCATGAGAAAAGACACTGTGGGATATATGAGTAGTTTCAGGTCATTGAAATTATTAATTTTTTTTGGTTTTCTTTCCCTTTACTTTTTAATTCTGAGAACCTACAAGTAATCCAGAGAGATTTGAGATTTTTACCAATTTTGGCCAAATTTATCTATTCTGAAATAACCACAAAATGAGTATGAAGAAGCAAAAAAACCCAACCAACCAACCAAACAAAAAACCCACCAAAAAACCAAAAAACCTTTTTTTTAAAGACGGCAGAATGTCTGGAGAAGAAAACAGTAAAACAGAGTACACAGTGAGACCAGGGGACTTAATCTTGTTTTGACACGGAAAACACTATTTACAGAACATGGGACTGCAAAAAATGGAGGAACAACAGTTTAAGAAGCATCAAAATAACTAAGTTCAGTTGAATTTGACATCGTAGGATATCTATTCTTCCTATCAGCATTTTTTGAAGACGGCAGAGATGGTGATTTTTATCTTCCTTTACAACATATCATGGACAATCTATCTTTGCAAATACAGAACAGTTAATGCTACTCTTACGGACTTCTTGTGTGATATGTGCATTTTTACTGAGAAATTGGACATAAACAAAGGCATAGCATGTATGTATAAATGCTATTCTTTTCGTACACAAGGATAAGTAGCAATCAGACAGATCTCAACATTCCTATCTTCTCAACAAGGAATTATTTTCCTAAAGACCAAGATGAACATTTAGAGGCACTCGGGTGAGCAGAGCACAGAGAGTTCTCCATCACAGCTTGCTGGCTTTACTGTGGGTGTTGCAGCAGAGCAAACTCACTGGACTGGCCCCGTGGGAAGCGTGCCTTTAACCTGCCCAGATAAAGTTTCCCATAGGAAGCCAGGTGTAGACTTCTATCTATCTTAATAAACAAACACTGCAGTGCTCCAGCCATACAGTGGAACAACTGGTAGCTCGCAGTGGAGGACACAGGTTCACCAGATTCAGAATCTCCCTTCTTAAGCATCTTTGGGGTTTATTTGTGTTTAAAACTACTATTATCTTTAGTTTCTTTGGCAGTAGAGCTGTTGTTTCATCAGCTCCTGCAACAGATAACAATTTTTAAAGTTTTTTTTTTTTTTGGTGGTTTTTTTTTTTTTTTATGTTTAAGTGGTTTCAGCTTTAGAAGTATTTGCTGGGATTAGTGTGTTCCTGCTGGAAGGAGGTGTGGGTCTGACTGATGGCTTTAGGTTTATGTATTAAACACATATAATGCAAATAGTTAAGAAACATATTTGAGAGGAAAGTGAACGAAGCAATTATGTTTTCTTGGCAGACAGGATTTGTTGGAAATATTTTGGTGATCAGAATAAAACTTCTCAGGCTCCACTCTTGCATCCAAATAAGTGATGGATTTAGAAAAGGGGCAGGGCTAACATGATGGCCTCCAACAGATTATTTACATACGAACACACATACCTTATAAAAGCTTGCTTTTCAGGAGGGAACTTTTTCACAGTACTATTCTATCACGTGATATATAACCCTAAAGTGGAATTAGGAAGTGTGACGCTTATTCAGATGAAGGCAGGCAGGCAGTCCATTTTAAGCAGACATCTCTTCCCTTGTGACTCCCAAGCAACCTTTAAATAATTTCAGTACTTCCCTTCATGTTAAAGGCTCATTATCCTTTATAGAAATTCTTTAAACCTCTTCTCATCCCAAACACCAGGAGTCATTTCTCAAGACAGCAGCAGATCCTTATTCCAGATCTCTCTCATAATTTTTTAATATTGTATGTCTTAGTGAATAAGGAATTCAAGAACTACTTATCCTTGGTACAGAAGAAGAGAAAAAAATCACTGATCATGATTTTATGTCCATTTCTTGAAAAGAGATGGAGAAGAATAATAGCTGCTAAGTGAAGATCCTGTTTTCACAGCTGCCATTCTAACCTTGTGGTTCCTAATTCAGCATTGACTCTAGCAGCATTTTCTTTTCACATTTCTGTTAGTATTCTTGAAGCTTTTACTTTTCCTTTTTTTTTTCTTTCCCACCACTCGCTCCTCATACAATCTACCTTCAACCAAGAAATTGGACCAGCTTCTCTGACGTGAAGGTGTCATGCAACAAAAACTGAGACACTGAGGCACTGAATAAATGTGCATCTGGAAGTACTGCCATTTCCTTCTTAGCATTAAAAGTTTTACTACGAAAGCCAAGTTGGTTTACAGCTTGAGATAGTTTTTCACTAAGAAAAAGTCTGTCAGTTTTAGAAGTAGCAAGTCATGGAAGTATATTAGGTCAATGTTTATTCTGTCTACTCCTGAACTACCAAACAGAAAGTTTGTCTACCCTCTTTTGACATCAAAGGTCAATAGCTTTTCTGTTTAGATACATGTGACAATGGAAATTCTGGAAGAGTAAAGCATCCAGTCTCCCTTAAGACATTTGTCACAGGATCTATGACAGGCAAAAAATGTATCCAGAAACATTACTAAGAGAGTAGTGGAAATTTTTATCAAACGTGGAGGAGTAGAATCACCTATACATAAGAATTTGGTTTATTTTTTTTGAAGTTTGCAGTGATGCTATCAATGGTTAGCATCTGTATACATGAGGTATCTGTGGTACGAGGGACAGTTAAGAAGTGAAGAAGGCAGGTTTAAAGAGACTGCTTCCATGTCTTTCTGAGAGGCAGTCTAGTGTCACGATCAGTGACTAAGCCATTCTACCTTTTTCATCAGGTGATTTGAGCTACTCTTCACAGACAACCCATATATAGACTGAAGGAATATGGGAAGCCGATTTGTCACAAGGAAGGCACAACAAAATATATTGATGTTAATGGTTCTTTGTTTTGGAAGGCTGTTAATTAACAAATTTGTCACCCAGAAACAACTGGGCCAGGTCTCCCCTTCTGCCTCTGAGTAAAGAAAGGTATTCAGGGTGACCTTGTGGAGCAGGATCTAATTAAGACCAACTAATTAAGAACACTGAATTTCATGGAGGAAACACAATATTTTTATCTAGCAGTAGCGCTAGATTGAGGAGTAGGGTCCAGAAACAGGCTTGTGGGGGAGAGAGAAAAAGAGCCAGAATAAACACAGAGAAAAAGAAAACTATGAATGACAAGGTACAGTACCAGAGAGAATACAGGTGGGTACAGGCCCTCACTTTGGAGTACCTCCACCTGACCAGGTGCAAGTATTATGTGCCATAACCACGCCACCAGAGCAGGGGATCCAGCTATACCTGAAGCCCACCACAGCACACTTCCACTCAAGTCACTTTCCAAAGCAGCTTGTCCTTAACGTGTACTTTATTAAAGCCGAAGTTGTCTCCTCTATGCACGCACTGACACGGTGACGGCGTTTGCTCTAACAGCCGTGCTGGAGCAGTACGTGTATTAGTGTGGGTGTGTGAGGGTGTGCAGATGTGTTTACCTGCTATCTCAGAGCCAGAAGGGTTTTCATTAGATTCAAACAGCAACTGACTCTCCAGAGAAGCTCCTGCTCTTATTTGATAAGGGATGCTCTTTTATCACACATGAAACTGCATGCAGTGATCAGACAGGCAGTGTGCATAGCTGCCAAACAGAGGAAAGCTGTTTTTCTGTAGCGTATTACAGCTGTGCATCGCTACTACAGTTGAAGATTGGCCCAAAAATGGCCAATTATGAAAACCATAGAAGCTGGGACTTCTACTGATCCACCCCCCACCCCAAAAAAAGTATGCAATTACTAAACTTGCTTGAGAGGTTGGGATACTGTGTTATTATTCAGAAGAGGAATCCACTATGGTAAATCAGAGTGGCAAGGACATCTGAGGTATTGGGGTTTGCAATCCTAACAAAGTTGACACTCTTCCATCCAAAGAACTCAGTTATTAGTTCTCTGATGTTACATCAAACAACCAACACCCCTAAACCTAAGCATTAGTGGTCTAAAGTGTAGCTTTCCAATTGAGAATAAGTTGGATTTTCCTTCCTTTCAGAAAAAAAAAAAATCTTCTTAGTTTCAAGAGCAAACATTTTTTCAAGCTAATGACAACTGAGAACTTCAAAGAGGTTCAGTATTGGTCTAATAGGTCATCCAGGAACATCTGGCATGCTGAAGTTTCAATAGTCTTTTCTCTAGTGAGAAATTACATTATCTTTACAGCTTTTTTAAAAATAGTATTTCCTCTATATTGTCAGCTATGTTCATGTTTGAAGGAGTTGTAGCTAACATGTACCTAAAAAATGGATTGTTTTTCTCTCTTGTGCCTAGAAAGTACAGATAGGTTGTGTATGCACTCCAGATTCAACAGAAATAGATGCATTTTCCAAAAGTTAGCTGCTAGTGGCTAACTCAAAATGACTAATGTGGCTGTATCTACAATATCTTATAGTATGTTACAGCATGTTATGGTACCTACAGTCATTGTATTGTAATTGTACTGTATTTGTTTTACCCTTGACCAAAGAATTTTGTTACTTCCCCTTCATTACTCAGCTGTAGCTCATAGACCTGACACAAATTTTTGAAATAAGATGTTAATCTTTTTCATATTTAAATCCCCCTTGTTTCCTCTACTAAACAAGGTTTTTTATTAACCATATTAACTTCCAGGTGCTATTGCATGCAGCTGAATACCAACCTTAAATTAAAACCATCAAAACCAACCTCTACCCTCCTTCCCCCCCATCCACTTCCTCTGAACTAAGGGTGCAGTAGACCAGCCTTTTTCACTCAATAGTAATATCTGGATCACAGAGAAGTGTTTTAGTTCTTACTTTTAACAGTGAGGTACATGGACTTGCTGACGTCTGCTCCCACATCATTGCTGACCTTGCAGAGGTAGTATCCACTGTCTTCTTCCAGCACATGTTTAATCAACAAGGAGCCATTTGTAAGAAGCTGGATGCGACCGTTCAATGCAATTGGCTGGAACTGAGGAACCCCAGCACCTAAAGCAAGACCCCCACAGAAACAGATTAGATAGAGAAATCCTTTCCTTCCTAACTAATCTTTTTTTTTTTTTTTTTTAAATAAGGAATGAACTATAGCTTCCTGTTGTTGGAGGCTCAAGCCAATTAAAATACAAATGGTTTCTGGCATCAGCAGAACAAACAGAATGGTTCTCTGACAAGCCTGAATTCATTAAATGGAAAGAAGAAAGACTGTTGGAATAGAATAGTAGCAATAATTTTTCCATGTTAAAGGTAAAGGGGAAAAAAGAACACAAAACAGGAGTGGGAGAACTAGAAAGGAGGGGGAGAGAAAATGAAGGAGATTTTAAGACCACTCATGGGTAAAAAGGCACATTTGTTGTACATTTAGAGGCTGATAAATTATTGACAATTACAGCTGAACAGTCATACAAGTATGCATCCCTTATGCATACACCAAATGAATTTCTTATGACTAAGAGGGATGTCTATTGTAGTAAACATGGCATTCTCAAGGGACCTCTAGGACGTTGTTTATGAAACTCTGGGTAATGTGGAAACCCACATCAGTGACTGTGTTGCTTGTATCCTCCTACAGCTGACTGACTGATGACACGTAAAATCTCTGTTCTGCAATGTCTGTAGACAGTATTTATTTGGACCGTTTATAAAAAAATACCATAAAAAGGAAAGAAACATAAAGCTCAGAACACTGTTCAGGCATGAGGTGCTAGATCTGGCAGTAATGTAAAAACAGAAGGTCCATTAAAAGACAGGAAGCCAAAGATTTCTGTATCAACTTTGGTTTTAAGGAAGAACCTACCTTTCCTTGGATATAAAACAGTGGGTGATTTAGAGAATAGGGAACAGGATACCACCATACTGTCAGCATATTACACTGTCCGGAGGACCACCACAAATTAAGGTTCCTTCAACATTAAGAACAATTTAATAGTGTATGAAGATACAGTACTTAAAACACAGGGTTTTACAACCTACTCTGGCAGCAGGAGATGGGATTTTTCAGGGAAATCATGAGGTAGTCTTCTTCAATGGAATTCTCTTATACTACTTTCTGTACACAAAATTGATATCTGTGAGCATTAATTACTATACGCAGTTGGCTGAGTCAGCCCAGAAGGAAATACGATGAATAAATACTATGGGGAATGATTTAGTATAAAATAGCAAGCTATAACAACCTATGAATAGAACATCTAGAATATTAAAAAAAGGCCACACATGGATACTAAAAATTATTCTAGTCCTAGAAGAGTTTGCTTTGGAAATTTATAGTTACACTGAAGGTTCTGGTGGCTGATACTGTGGACTTAGAAATGATAAAGGGATAATATTTTTGCAAAAATCAGATTCTACTGTTGATTTTTCAACTACTTTAGTCACATGTATATCTCCTTTCCCTGTTTGCTTTTTTCCTTTAATAAGTCATTTTTCCTGTCATTTATTTTAAAAGTAGATTTATGCTTCACTAACTCTACTTGTCCGTAATTGATTGCCCAAGTAGGTAGATGCAAGCACTCACTTCTTAAATTTCTTCATATGAAAAATATGGGGACAATTTGGTGCCCAGAGAAGGGAAAGGGTTGATACTTCTGAGGATAGCAGCAACTGGGCAAAATTTTGCATAACAATTTGCAAATGCTTCTTACTCTTCACACACATTATTACCACTGTTACAGTCAAAGTCCTTCTTAAGCAATGACAGCAGCTTATCACACACAACTGCATGGATGAATCTGCAATAGAACTACCTGCTCATAAATCACAAAATCACAGATGCCTTTTCTACTCTGTGGTGGTACCTACAAATGAGCTATGATCTGATTGGGTTATACTCCTGCTGGTTTCGTCTCAGCGATTATTTCAGCATTTGGCATAAACCTTGCTCACAAACCAGTTATATACGTCTCTTTAAGGGAAGATATAGCATATATCCTACAGACCTGTACACCACCTTATTTAGACTAGGTATTTAAATTGCAGTCATCCATTAGTAAAATGCAGGCTTCTGTAAAAATACTGACCTTTTCACCTAGAGTTATTTTGACCAAAAACTGAAACTGCAGTTTGATGGCTTTGCCTACATCACCTACTAAAATTTTCTTTGACTTAAAAACTTCAGCACTGTTAATGGAAATTATTAGAAGCAGTCACTTGATGGTAGAGTGTCACTAAAATCAAACCACTATCTGCTTCTCCTTTATTAAGGCGGGCTGCTTATCTCTTCACAGTTAATTACAACTCAGCTAGCTTGGCTTGGTGTCCTCCCTCGGCACGCAAACACAACAAAACAGAATAACTTCTTTGTGACCTATATTCATAATTAAAACCACATATATCATTGAGGTTAATGGCATTTGGAGCCCTGCACCCTTCTTGTCACAAACCAGAATTTATCAGTAAAAGCAAATATAGTCTTTAACATGAACATTTCTCTTTCTCCCACTTTTTTTTTTTTTTCCCCAATATAATTCAGACTTAGGTCCTAAGGAAACCAAAACCAACACAGAGCATTAGATAAGGAATTCTTCTCAACAGCAACTAGTTTTGCTTTTTAAAGAGTTAACCCAAGTAGACCGTATACAGAGTTTGGAGAATTTGTTTTCCTGCTAAAAACAACCAGAAGACAACTGGTAAAAAGACACAATCTAGCAGGCAGCATATTTTAATTAAAAAGCAGTCAATTTCCTATGGTTACTGAGGGTCAAGTGGGGCCAGTTTTAATGCTCTGTTACATGAGAAGAAAATGTTAAAGCATTATGTAAAGCGCATACTGAATTACTGCTTATGCTAATGCTACCTGACCTTTTTTCTTTGCTGAAAAGATATGATTGGCCATGTTATCATGGATTTTGAAGGGGAAAAAAAATCAGCCAAATGCTGCCAGTGAACCTTGTTCTGAGGTTGTTTCAATTAAAGCAGTATCTCTTTTTCTCAGCAGCCCATTTCCTCCCTTGCCTGCTGAGGCAATAGCTAACACAGACACACATTCACAGCTCCAGGACTTCTGTAAGACAGACCAAAAGTTCATTGAGCTTGGCATTGCACCTGTGACAATGGCCAGCACTGCGTGCTTAGGAAAATGGTAGAAGAACAGTGTAAACATGACTGTACCCTTACTGTACCCTGACAGCCTCTGACAACATGAAGATTAAACCAGTAGCTTACAGGTGAGTAAACTGTTCCTAAACCAGCATTATCTGTCCCCATTGATCACAGGAGGAATCATACCTTTTGAGTACTTCCAGACAATGGTAGGAACAGGGTAACCCTCTGCAGAGCAGTTGAGAATTACAGCTTTCCCATAGATCCCATCTTGGTCACTTGGCTGAACCACAAACCTTGGGGGCACTGCAGGAGGAAGCAAAAGAAGCCATGAGAATTTGTGCAGCTTACCAGGTAGCTCAAAAGGGCAGACCAGTCAAATAAGGAGGCATAATATTTCATAGCAGAAAGCAAAAATTAAAAACAGCTTTTTGATGATCCAGTGTCATAGTAAAGTTGGGTTTAGGTAATTATTTACTTTCTGTGCAGAATCTCAAAGTAATTCTTGCCAGGCACAGTAAAAGCACTGGTCTTGATAGGGTACAAAAATTAAGCTAATAAAAACCTCTCCACAGAAAAGGTTATAAAATGGAGTAAGAGATGAATCAAACTGTCATGGTCAGAAAAGAAATGCTTTCTAACAAAGGGAGAGAGTTGGCAGGTGTCTAAGAACAACTGTGTTTGTTGGATATTTTTTTGTAACAGTGAACTACCAAGCTTTAGAAAAAGAAGATTTAAATCATGCAGCATAAATAACCTTAAAAAATAACACCTTTTAATAGCAATCAGATCACTTCATATTAGAATGATGATGTTAGAACCATAAATTCTGTCTGATAGGACTTTTCTTTCCAAACACCCATAGAGAGGTTCAACACAATTTGCTTGCATTAAGTTGAAAAGGAGAAGTCTTATTAGAAATAGATGTGTGTCAATGTATACATATTATTAGACTTATTCTAAGTGTGTATTTATACATAAATAAAATGAGAGCTTCTCATCTCAAGGAGAAAGCCTACATGTTTTAAATACAGATATACACCAAAGCAAACAGCTTGTGACAATGCTAGACTTATAGTTTACCATGAAGACCAGATACTAAAAGCCAGTCTCCATATAACCTGCAGATTTGATAAAAGTTCGAAAGAAAAGCTAAAAACTCTGAAAACTCACAAAAGGTATTGAATATTAAAGGTGCTTAATGGTTGTATTAAAGTCAGTTAAGGTCACAGATTTTTGTTGACCTCCTGTTCTTTGTCTCAGAATATGAAGAAGTAAATACCTGAGTAAAAAAATAAATTATTTGTGTCCTTATCCCATGTTATTCTTTTTGTCATTTCTTACAGTGCTAGAGAGAAAGCGTAGTAATGTGACTGAGCCTGTGGCAGATTTTGTTTTTTCTCTCAAATCAAGTACAGCAAAACATTCAGATCTAACACAGTAAAGGAGAAATACCAATAGTTCCTTGCTTTCTTCACCTCACAGCAGCGTATGCACGCAGGGACACACATGGGTTCACAGATCCGCAGGTCTAGCCAGGGCTGACTTTGTCTGAAAGTTGCAGGGGACAGAACAAAGGGTCCAACCATCCCTCCTAGCTCTTACGTTAACCCTCATAAGACCCCACCACCTGCCTCTCTAGAAGGACCAGAAATTAAGAAAGGAAGTATGGGAGAGGGCTGTAGCATAAGGAAATGTAAGGCAGAATAAAAGGGAATCACCAGTACAGTGACTATTTGCCCCAGGTCCTGAAACAGCTCCTCATGGCCATGAATACCATACTACTTACACGTCAGAAAAACTGTGCAGCAGAAGCACAGAAGAAGCACCAATGTTATATTATAAAACTTTAAAGTTTTGTCAGTATAAACACACACATAGCAAATAGCACCTCCTTATCAAAGAGTACCTAGTTTTTCTTAAGGAGAAACTTGAGCTGCCAGTGTTGGCATGGACAGGAATGCTAAAAATTGGAGGCATCTTGAGATACTCTCTCCAAGTGCAGAAAACCCTCCTCACAATGGCTCTAGCATTGCTCCCTTCACCTCCATCATCCAGACCCCTTCCAACTTTCCACCTTCATAGACACAACTGTTTTTTAAAAGAGGAGAGCAATCTTCCAGGGAGAAAACAATTCCTATAACCAGACCTTTTTTTCATTGAATCCTACAGCTATAATGCAATGTTGTTTATTGTGTAACTATGTACAAAGAAGCTCCACTGCTCTCCTAGAAGAGGAAGGAACTAACACTAATAGAGGTGAGAGACACCTTTGTACTAGGAGATGTATTTAGTGCTGTCAAGCATTTCAGCTTTCCAAACAGCTGCCACACTGACAAACATAAATCATATGCTATGTTAATTTATGATAGGTAAGCATCAAACATGAAATCGTGGCAACAACAGCCCTGGGCAATTACCCTCCCTGTTCTAATTATCTGCTCACAGGAGACATTTGCTTCAGCAGCTCTTTTCGCACTGTTCTGTGTTCATTTTATCATCAAATTCAGAAGGAGTCCCAGGTACATATTTTCCGAAGCAGGTGAAAAGTACAATTAGTTGCACAAATAGGTTTTATTTTATATGAGTCAGCATGGTGGCATCTTGTTTCACTTTGGTAACTATAAGTAAATGTGTATTCACAGCTTCTAAAAAAATCAATTACAACCTGCCTATCCATAAAGAGGGAAAACAAACAAACAAAAAAAACCTCACCCCAAAAAAACAAACAAAAACCAACCAAACAGACAACCAAACAAAAACCCAAAAACTAAACCCAACCCAAAACCAAAATACACCTCAGTTGTATCAGTCTTACAGGTGAATAATTACAAATGATGCCATAGAGTGACTGAAAATTACTGACCTCCTCTACCACTGAAAAGTGTGAAGAGTATAATGTCTTTTAAAATCTCTCTTACAATACAAAACTTTTTAACTGCTTTGGTTTATTTCCATTCCCTTTGAAATCCATTTCCTTTATATTCTTTATTTGATATGGATGACACTGGCAAGAAGTGCTAATTTTTCAGGAAATAATTTATTATATTAAATGGGTAGACATATGCAGAGAGTTCTGGAAAAGTTAAGCAAGTTGCCTTTATTCCATACGGGGCAATTCAGCCTTTAAAATATTAGTTGCATTGTTATCTGTTAAAAAAAAAAAAAAAAGTACAATCCCTCTGGGCATATTTGGAAAAAAAATAGATGGATGCCAAGTGTAAATGTGGTTTGAGCGTTTCTCTGGAAATGCATCCTTACACATGCCTAATGAACGCATGTAGATGTGCTCAATGTGTTGTGTCTTTAAAGCTGACAAGCTCTGAACAGGGCTTCTTATTATACTGATTTCACTGTATTTTGGGTGTATATATATAAACCATAAGTTTTTCAGATATTCTTGGTATTCCCATTTTTAATCTTTACTTTTAATGCAGAATGATACCAGAATGATAAATGTGGAAATTAAATTTTCTCATCTTTGCTTGTACTGCTCCATAAAAAATCATGTTTCAACCCTACTTGTCAAAAACTCTGCCCATACCCAGTAACAGACACAATTTCTATAGTCAGTAAAGCTTTGGCCTTCCTAGAAGGCTACTTATAAAAATGCCAACCACTGCTTTGATTTTGAAGGCATAAACCCTTGATGCTTAAGATTGTCAATAGAAACCAAAAAAGATGCTACAGCAAAACAAAATTACTCATTCAATGACCTTTCAATTGTTTCTTCATTGCTGCCTTGGTAAAACCACAAGATTTTTCTTCTTATGAAGGAATGATTAATAGGTAAACAGAAGAGACTTTTACATTTTTCTTCCTCATTGATGGTTTGCCTCTCAAATTCATTTAAAATTAATAACTCGTTCAGTGCTATGTGCTGCCGTATTTTGGACAACAATGCAGTTAACTACTTGATCTTGATATTGATACTTAGCTTTAAATTATAAAGCTGCATTCCCTTTTCCATAATTTTTCAGGAATTCATTAGCCCTTAAAGAAAATTTGCTTAGTAAGAATTTAACAAAATTAATTTATCTGATAAGCTTAAGTAGATTTAATGGAGGGAAAAAAAGCAATTAGTTCTCCTCCTCTCTCTCTAGTTGCAAAGGTGTAGGCTTCCTCTGCCCCTGTAGAAGTGAGATACTCTGAAGCAGCTCACAGATATGGCTGAACAGTTCTACTTTTATAACCCTTGTTTCTGCAGCACAGTCCCTTGAGCTCGTAAAGGAGGGCATTTAAAATTGCTTTAATAGTGAGTTTCTGTTAGGCTCTCCCATTTAATGCAGCCTACGGATCTGTGACGAGAAATGAGCTGTTGAATTGTTTAGTGTAAGAGCAATAAATTGACAGATGCCAGCTATTTAATGGCTGAACTCAAAGGACCTAAAAAAGGTGTTTTCAGTCAATATTATGACTAGAAGTCTTAGGCTGTCACAAAGGGAAAACAAAGGATAAGAGCAATCGGAATAGGATGTTGAAGATAACATGAATGTCATAGTGCCATTTTAAGGGAAGGAAAATGCTTTTATTATCTCCTCGTGTAAAACTATCCTGATAAGATGGAAAAACATGATTTGATACTCTAAAAAGATACTGCTTACCAGTATCATCACTGCTTGCAAACATGGACTTTACCAGCTACCGAGTAAAATCGATTTATGAGTGCGTGCTAATATCCCCTGATTTAATTTTGCTTTTTGCAAATCCAAGAATCCTTTCTGACTGTGCTTTATGCCAGGGACCAGAAGAAAAACTCACATACTCCTTCCTGGACTTCAAATCTGTGCAAGTGCTTCAGGCTTCCTAGTGGTTAGTACATCACACGGGAGAGCAACTGTGAAGGCTCCTAACACAAACTCCTCTGGTGGGCTACTGGAGTGAGTTAAGAAATAATCTATGACATTGTCCAGAATACAATGTTTCATTTTTATGTGGAATATTTGTACTTTACATTTAGATCATACTGTCAAAATAATGGAAGAAATTTAATCAGCTAAAGCAACCACTGATGTATTAATGAATGAGATCATTAAACACTGTACTTTAGCAAAGACGAACAGTTATTAAATTTGGTCATTGGACCTAGAAGGTCAATTTAGCTGGTTTAGTGAAACCGTTTGCTACGCGGTTCAAGAAAAAAGGATGTACTTTTGCAAAAATGAGACAGTGCCTAGTGGTTTCTGTTGATCAGGTTTGACTAATGAGAATGTTAAATATTAAGTGAATCACTCTAGAATAATCTTCAAAGCTGCAGTGTAAACAACAGCAAAGAAAATAGTTTTGACACCAGCTGCAACTATAAATCTTTTCCTTCTGCTTTTCTATCATGAACTGCATTCGCTACATCACACCAGTGGCAAACATCAGAAAGGAGATGAATACTCACTTCCTATCTGGAAGGTTCAAGTCTCAGGGACTCCTCATTGGGTACCTAGCTATCTAATGATATTTGACATTCCTGGCAAGCACAAAATGAAAACACATTTACACTTAACGTGCTAAATGCATCCAGGGGGGTTATTAGGTATTTAAAGACTTTATCTCAATTTTAATATATGATGCGTTCATTAACATGAATTTTAAAAACATTATTTACACACCCACCTACTATGTTTGAATTCTCTTTTCTGGCAGTATCCAAAAAATTTTGAGCTGATAATACATTTGTGATTTTTTTCTTTCTGGTTACCAATTAAAATCCCTTTTACTGCTTTTTATTTCATAATTTCTTCATTCCCATTTTAGGGAACACTACAGAAATTAATAACACATGATATTAGATTGTGTTATGTAGATTTTAATCACTCTTTAGAAGACAGCCCTAATGAATAAAGCCTTAATTAATTCCACATGATCATATAATAGTTGACAGAGAAGATGTTTTCTTAATTTCTATAGATGGCTTTCATGGTGGGATCCTATTCTTTCCAACAAGAAACAAAATAATCAAAATAAGAAAGATTTATGATTTTTTGAGAAACCCTTCTACCTTGCACATTTTTGATGAATTTCCAGGGGAACTGCAGGCTGGGACCTGGTGGAGTACAAAATTCCAAGAAGAAAAGCCGAGTTTTCATTCACATGGACTGCCTACATGCAGTCCCTAGATGCAGTGAAGATGGACTGAGAAGCTATTGGCTTCTCCCAGTGGGTAATTAATGAGCTTTTAAAAGATATTCCATAAGCATTAGGAGTAATCAAGCTTGTTTTGCTGTGGATTTATATTCGTGGCTGAATACAGACTCCAGTTGGAACACCTCTTGTGTTTGCAGAAGGGCTCATGTGAGTAGATCCTCTAGTATTACACTCAGTAAAGGTGTTTCTAATCAATCATCTCTTTTCATTAAGATTTTAGGCTTTCAGCCCCACTGGAGGCATTTTCCCTTCTTCAGATTTGCCTGCAATTGGCCAATAAATTGTGAAGGGGAGAAGTACTGTCAGTTCTATGTCCAGAGTGTGACTAACTCTAATTTCCAGGTCCTTGCCAAGAAACCCATGGCAGAGAGAACTGAGAGTGCACTGAGAACTTCTTATTCAGGGCTGCACAGCAGCTCAAAAGCTTTGTCCTCTCACTTCCTTTCCTTCAGCACGCTCCTTCAATCTCGTATGTGATGCTCTGCAAGGAAACTCTGTGGAAGCCAGTTATCTTTCTCTGATATTTAAGGCAGGGAAAATCCAGCCTTGCTGGCCAGGTATTTTTAGTGCTCCTTATTGCCACTTGGTTGCTTTTATAGAGCACAAAATAATGGGAACAGCAATAAGGATTTATTATAAGGTACCCACCGATTTTAGGAGACTGGTGCGTGTTTTTATTCTGCCACTTAATACGCCTGGCAAAATGGCATGAAATAGGTATGAAAAACAGTATTTGTGGGAATAATGTAGGAAATTTATCTAGAAGACTTAAAACTTAACAGAAAAATATGAATGCTAAAAATATAACAGATACCTGCAATCTGACAGATAAAACATTGGAGGGAAAAAGTCACAAGCTGTAAAAACAAAGTTTATGTGGCTGTATGGATTCTGCAGAAGTTTGTGTACTCAGTATTTCAAACGTAGCAATGAATAGTTGGCCTGTGTTTCTTTATTCATCTTAGCGATGGACTGGATTAGATTTTACTTCTAAGTCTACCCATATACAGTCAGGGTTTTAGCAGAAAGTTCAGGTCAAACATCATATTATATTTCCCCTTTTCCCTCTGAGTGAGAGCTATTATCCCAGATGCATACGTAAACTGATTAAGACATTACCATTTAAGTTGACATAGAGAGAGGAGAGAGGCTTAAAGGAGGCTGCTGCAGAGCACTAGCTGGGCAGAAAGATAAGCAAGAGGGGAATAATAAAGTAGCCCTTATAACCTCCAAAAAGGTTGCAGGACTAGGGCTCCAGAGACTCCAAGCCTCTGAGCAAAACAGGGTGAAATGCTACCCACTATCATGCCCATGGGTTTATAAGGGTTTCCTTAAGGTACAAGCACCCAGCAGCTGTCCAGGCAAGGCACAGAGAACAGGGACACTATCAGGGGAAGGGAGGACTTGCCCTGGTCAGTGGAGTGCAGAGCAGAAATCCCTACATGTGGGCTCATTTGAGCAGTTATAGCCTCATAGATCTTGGTGCTGAAATAAGGATGCATATCACCCTACCATCCCTGTTTTGATGAAATGCCTATAGGAACCCATACAGAGATGTTACAGGGTTCATTCTATCACTTCAAGTACTGCATATAACCGTATATCAGGTATGATTTCAGCTGTTATTAGATGCAGCGTTGCTGTGTAGGGCAGACATAGCCAGTGGACTGTGATGGGAGGCTGTCAACTTTCCCTTCTCCAGGAAGAGAGAAGGTAAGGCAAATCTTATACTATTATAATGATGGATAGGGCTAAAAGTTAACTGAACAGCTTAGGAAAAGAATAATTAAATGCATGTAGTTAATTAAACCACTACTGGATTAAACCACAATTACTGGATAGATGGGGAAAGTAATAGACGTCTGTACTGAATAATAAAATATTAAAAGCAGTGATTTAAAAAAAAAAGTCATTAAAGTAATATTCATATCAAAACTCATGAAAAAAAATGGACCTATTTGCCATTAAGTTTTGGTAATAGTAGCATTAAAAAAATAAGCATACACATTCTGTAAGTGGAAAATTAGAGAATAATCCATTAAGAATAGTCCTAATACAGTAAGAAGATCTGAATTAAAATGGAGAGCTGTTGAGAAAGTTTACTTCAAATGAGTGTTTGAGGAAGAAAAAAAAAACTGGAAAAGACGACAAAAGTCCACGATTTGTTTTAAGATTTGTCTTGGTAAACTTATGGAAGGAGATATGAGATGTAGTGGCATGCAACAGGCAGAAATAACCACGGTCACTTGTAGTATTACAATATGTGCCCTCTTTCTCTAATGATTCTAATGGCTTGATAGCAAGAGGGTGGAGAGTGAAGAGTATAGGTGTCTTATTTTTTGAAAATGAGAATTTTAAACACCTAGAAAATTTTAAACACTTTCAGAAAGAAAAGGAAGCAATTTACTTCGTTGAAATTTTGCAGAGTAAGTTTGAAAATGTATCACAAGCCTTAATCTGTAGGGAACCTGGCTAATGTGTGACTTGGAAGATAGAAGTTATTGAAGGCAAGACATCTCTCTAAAAGGTCTTTTCCACATAACGTACTTCCTTATTGAAACTACATTCACCTCTAATTCAAGGCAAAATGTAAAGTCAGCATGAACAAATGAATTGTGCTAAATACATTATAACCATAAATAAGGAAAAGAACAACATGGTAACATGGGACAGTCTTTTCCCTGTGAAGTCAACACCAATGCTTTGCTTTTCTACTGACATAATGTTATATGAGAGGCTGATCTAAATAAAAAATGGGGATAATCAAACTAAAACAGTAACAGAAAGAAATTTGATTCCATTTCAAAGGCTTGATCCCTATGAACAGGCTTAAGCCTCACAAAATTTTCCAGGAAGTCAATCCTGTGACTCGCCCATCCACACTGCGCACTCTAGTGATAATGATTTGTTTTGAGACTCTTAGATAGAAAAAGTCATATTAGTTCTGTGCTCTCTGCTGTCAAGAGAGGGATTACCATATTTTCCTCTTTTTTATACTTCCCATTGAACAGATGTCATTACAAAATACTGATGAATTCTGCTTAATTGGTGCCCTTCAAACTAATTACATCTACTTACCTCTCACGATTAATTGGCTTTGGTGCTCCACAGCTGCTGCATCATTTCTAGCAATACAGGTATAATTCCCATTATGCATCAGTGAAAGATTAGAAATCCTTAAGGAGCTGGTGAAGTCGATGTTGTCAATTGTCACCCCGAGGCTGGCTGGAATTGGCCTGCCGTCCTTCTGCCAGGTGATTGTGATGGGCAAATCCCCAGACACCACCACACAGGGAATGAAGACCCGCTGCCCAATGGAGAACCGTGGAAATTCAAAAGGCTGAATAAAAGGCGGAACTGAAACAAAAGAGAAAAGAGGAGCTATTGCAGTTACAGTGTCATTGCTGAAAATAACATAATGGAAACGATATGCAGTGCTGAGAATGTAAAATCAACACCTTCAACAGCCATAGAGTATTGTTTAGCTAAAAAAAATTGTGTCTTTTGCAAATACCTTTTTTGCTTGACTACCCAATGCATAAGCAGAGATCACAAGCAGTGAAATCCCTGGCTTCTAGAGATACCAGATACCACTGGTAGATTCCTGCAAGAGTATTAGGCACCTCTTCAAGAAATCACATCGCCAGCTTACAACTCTGCAGGCCTTTCAGTAGCGAGACTGCCTGGACATTCCAGGAAGAGCTCAACTGCTTTCAGGATCTGGTGTGAGGGCCTTGCTTAGGGTTATGGAATAAAATGGGAAGAGGCTCCAGCTTTGCCCCTGGGATGTGATGAAAGGGACTGTAAGCTTCCCTAAGTACTGCTGGCACTTATTTTTTAGTGTTTCAAGTCACGATGCTCAATAAGATTGGGTGGAGGTATAAAGCGAAAAGCATAAAAAGTGGTATTTGTAGGACAATAAATTAAGTTAAAACTGATTTCTAAACAGAAGGCCAGTATAAAGCTTAAACTCTCAAGCTAACCTTTAATTCCTGCTAAGCATATTTTGCTTGGCAAATCTTTTTTTTTTCTTTTTAAACATATTATTCTGTGGTTGAACCAAAAGAATGAAATTTAATGTTCTTATTTTCTACCATAGGGAAGAATTCCTCTTCTTAGAAAACATTTTGTTTTCAGTTATTTCTAATAAAACCAAAGGAAACACTGGACTGGATTTAATAAACAAAGCAGAAATTAATGGGGGTGTCTCAACGTCTCTGGATTGTGGCCGGAACATTTAGTAACAATTTGGTAGACTGAGAATCAAATATGTACTCACATGAAGGAATTGAAATCTTCTACCTTCTCAGGGGGGCACCCTAACAACCAGGACATTGGTCTAAGATAGCTTTCTATCAAACACTCCTGAAAAGACTATAAAACCAACGGTGCAAGCAGTACTCAAATACTCATTTATCAAAAGAGAAGGTTCTTAGAGGTTATGTACCTTAGACACAGGAGTACATTTTTCTACTCTTGCCTGAAAGATTACTTATACATATTCTGTAGTACATATGAACATCTTGAACAGGAAAGATTGAATGATACCCACAGCAGAACATTTATACTACTGTATATTAGCTAGCTTTAAAAGAAAATGGGGTTGGTGGCTTTATCTAATTGTGTTTCTTTTGTCTTTTTTTCCCTTTAGCAAATCTAAGACTGTGTTTACCCCAAAAACTGAAGCTGAAAAGCAGCAGAAAAATTTTTCAAAGTGATTGCAATGTATGCCAGTCCACTGACTTCAGCAGCAGCATTTTTGGTAGTATTCTATTTCTGGGATGCAAGGATAGGTATTTGTGACCATTACTATGTCAGTTCAGTACGCTCCTCCACCAGGGGTAAGAAAGTTTATCACTAGGGAAGCAATACCAACCCCACCGTAGGGCAAAGGGGTTGTTCAAAGGCACATTCAAATGCTTGCGTGCATGCACATCACAGCGCAAGAGACTGAGACAAATCAGGTACTAAATCCTCTGTTTCAAGCATAGCCGTGATGCCATTTGATGAGAAGTCATGACCATGCACAGCTGCCACAGAAAGGTAACATCAGGCACAGGGTACCACAACTCATCCTTACAGGCTTTCCCTGACTCCTTCCGAGCGTGGCTCGCTGTCTGTGGCTGTGAGAAGTGCCGCTGCAATCAATTTTTCTCGCTCGGTGTAATGCCTTTTCCTGACTGCCATCTCTCAAATCGCTAAACCCCATCCTGTTGTGTTTTGAAAATCCGGTATATCAGGCACACAGAAAAACAAAATCTGGTATAAATTACTGTGTTTATGTGAACTGTGAGTGCTGGAAATTAACTGCTTTTTCACCTGAGGAACTAGGGTCACAAAGTGAGGCAAAATGTCTGCCTTCCCCTTCTAATTAGTTTAGCGCAGCTAGTGCATTCACATGATATTTTGGATTCTTTGTACATCAGCAGAAAAAGGCCAAATTTCTCTTAGCACATATTGACAAGCAGTTTATAATATAAATGGGAATTAGAAACTTTTAGAATGAGACTGTCAAGAGGTTTTGACATAACCTTTCCCCTTGATGAGTGGAAATATCTGTTAAATGCCATGTGCCCCCCTTATTGTGTTGTCTAGCACATTTCTACCCCTTCTCAGTCTCAGGCATCATTACTGAATGATATGCTAAAATTCACAAGAGGGTGGCAAATTGATTCTGTATTTTCTGCTGAGTGTGTAACAAATTTGGACCAATCTTTCACAGACAAAATGATATCTAAAGTCAGACAACATATTGCTCAAGGATTATTATGTGCATTTTCATTCTCTCTCTCCCTGACGAAGAAAACAGGGAGCAAGATCGTAAGGTCACATTGAAGTATTTTTCAGAAAATATTGATTTGCAAGGCTTCATTTACCAACTCTAAAATTTAAGTAACAGCCTGCAGAGCATTTCAGAAATCATCTAAAATATTTATAGACAGCACATTTTCACTCTACTCAGGTTTTTAAGATAGAGAGGAAACCAACATTCATTTCTGCTTCATAAAATATAACATATATTCAACCTGCAGCAGCTTGCAGTCCTGACAAGGAGCTTGTTTTAAAAACAAGTATATAATTTAAAATCAGTACTTAAAACCAGAAAATAATCTAGTAATAACTCTGAAGTATTGAAGAATGTTCTTCAGCTACAGTATTAACAGTCTGGGCTGATAAAGGCAGTCCCTGCTGATCTAAGATAGCAGATACTTTTTCTTTCTTGTAGTTTGAAGAAGGAATAGAAACCACTTATTAAAAACACAGAATATAGCACACCTGAAGTCAGGCAAATAATTCCTGAAATACAAAAGTTGCCATATATGTATATCTATTTCTGAACTGAAAAAGCTGACATATAAGCCTGACAGAAGAAAATATTAAGCTTGATTAACCAGCACGTGGGTTATTATTTTTGTAAACTAAAGCTGTATCATTGCCAAACAGCACTAAAACAATACAAGGGATGTATGATACTTTGACAGACAAAAGTTACAGTAGGACATATATATTTAAAATGTGTCTAAAATAATTCAAGGTGTGTTGAAGTGTTTTCTCACTCTGTATGTAGCTTTAGTTTGACCATACTTCAGAGCTTCTATTTGATGTTTGTGTTAAATTATGCTATTTTATATATAAGATGTTACATATTAAGTCTACAGAGAGAGGGCTGTATGTGTGCTTCTGTATGTGGAAGGGATGTTTCTTCCTCTACCCGCAACAACAAAAGAGTGAAAATATCTGCTCCATGCAATGAAGTGCAATGCCTTGGGAACGCTTTATTGATGAGTGCTTGAATTAAGTGTCTATTTAAGAAGAGGAGCATGGACCAGCCTCATTAGTTCTAATGCAGGAAGATTTAAATTATGGTTTTGTGCCCTGGCAAGGTCTCCTGTACCTTTGGGATATTACTGTAAAGCAGGGCAAGAAGAGCTTCCACACTACTCTCCATTAGCAGAGGAACATCCTTAATTTCTTGCCCTCTGTTCCATGGGAGTTATGCTAGAAAAATATGCTGAGATGATTCACTGAAACAGAGTATCCCACAGACAGCCTGTCTCCTGCAGCAGCCTTGTGAACATGGTGCTCTTCTCCCCTGACTCTCCTTCGTAAAATGAAAGTCGTCCTCTGCTTTATCATTAGAAATGATTCCCTAATGGATTTTGTTGCAACCACACTCTTGCAGGAGCTGTGACCAAAATATAAAATACTGTTGGCAATGAATACTCACAACACAGGTCCACTGGCTGATGTAAAGTAATAACCACCAAACTATGCAGTCTCTTAAGTTGGATGTGTTACCCTAGATTTCATGCACCAGGAGTGCAAAAGCCAGAACTATTTTGTCTCTGCACAAACCCTAGGCACAGTCTAGTCACCTCAAAGTTTTCTCCGCTATTGATTGTTTCTCCTCAACAGCCCCATCTCTTGTGGGTGATGGTCTGAGCAACTGCACACAATCGCTGAAGAACTGGATTTTTCTATTTCTTTCTTGTATGTATCAAGCCTTATCAGTAGGGCATGTCATTCACTGAACTATTAATGGCATTTATGGAGTTGAGCCTCATACTCTGTTCCCTTGCTGTGTGTTAACGATTCCTGTCTTGCAAAGAGGGAATACCTTTATATTCTTTGGGCCTTTCTAAGTGTACACACTGAAAAAATATAACCAAACTAACACCTGTAATGCCCCTGCGGTTGCACAACATTTCACTCCACTTGTACGTTCATTAGTTACCAAAATTAAACCTGTATTCAAACATCTTCAGTCTTACCACAACAAGCTGTGTTTTTTTATTGGGAAAGGTCGCTGAGTGTAGCAGAGCAAATGCTGTGTTGCCTATTTCCCAGGGGAGCTTACAAGAGAAATCTCACCCTGCACCTTAGTCCCCACTGCCCTTTACTGCAGTGCAGCACTGGTAACTCACAGGATCCCTGATGCTGTTCTGGGAGCTCCCCCAAAGTAAGAGAGGATGTAAAATGGTGTGTAGAAACAGAGAGTGCTTTTATGTCATGTCTCATCCATCTATTGAGCCACCTCTTTTCAGCCTCCATTGTGAGAGGAAAAGTGCATGCCCTTATCATGTGAAGCACCCTGCAAACCTATGATGGTGGGAAGCTCAGTTCCCTGCCCAAGGGAATGCATTTGCTATTTATTTTTTAAAAGAAAAAAAAACCAAAAACACCAAACCAAAAACCCAACTTCTTGATTTGAAGACAAGAAAGCAGCTGCAAGAGTATACTAACACAACATGGAGTTACCTTCATTGTTAAAGTACCACCTGATGAAAGGCCTCTCTTGTAGACTACGTATCCAAAAGCACTTAACTGTTATTTTTACCATGCTTTTGAAACTTGGT